GGGGGGGAGGAGGGGCGGGGTCGGACGTGCTCGGCGTGGGTTTATGCAGGCTGCGGCGTGGTTTGGTGATGGCGCACGCTGGACGCACCCGGTCTCCCCTTGCGCGCGCGCGGGCACACACACACACACACACACACACACACACAAACTCAGACACACTTCACACAAACCCGGCTTTTGAGGCACAAACCACTCACAGCATCAAGCCGCGCTCCTGCGGCGCAAGGGTGCGTCTGGCCCCCATGTCCTTTAAAACATACACCGTCACACACTCTTTTGCACGCACGCACGCACGCACGCACATACACACACACACACACACACACACACACACGCGCACGCGCGCGCATGCACGCACCGCTTGGGCTCGTTTGCGAAGGGGTCCTTGAAGGCCTTCTGCTGGGCCCCCTCTTGGTAGCCCTTGAGCCTGCCTATCCGCATCCCCTCCAGCAACTCCCGGATCTCCCCCTTCTGATGCTGCTGGTACAGCCCCCAGAACGGCTCCACAGAGCCGCCCGCTGCGCGCCGCAGTTGGGGGCGGGCGGATTGGAGGCGGGGAGGTGGGGGGTGATGAGAGGGTGCTATTGGGCGGGTGGATGAAGGGCGAGCAGCAGGGGGTCCGTCGGAGGGCTGAGGCATGGGGACCAGGGTTCTTGGGTTCGCTTGTCGGCCGCATGCGTGTGTGTTCAAGTTGGTGTGTGTGCATGCGTGTGTGCATGCGTGTCTGCACGCGCGCGTGTGCACGTGTGAACATGTGCAGTTGTGCGTTTGTGTGTGTGTCTGTGTGTGTGTGTGCGTGTGTGTGTTTGTGAGAGAGAGAATGTGTGTGTGTGTGTGTGTGCGCGTGTGCGTGTGTGTGTGTGTGTGTGTGTGTGTGTGTGGTAGTTCTGCGCGCGCGCATGCGTGCGCAAGCACGCGCGCGCCTGCATACCTGCCAGCATGATCTTTTGGGATCCACCAGGATGGGAGTGGACGAACTCAGTGATGTCATACACACCCCTGGTTCGGTTGTGAGGGGTGGTGAAGATTGAATACAGGATGGCAGCGCCGCGGGGCCAGAGACGCACTAGCACATGCGCCTGAGGAAGATGTGGACCGAACATCGGGGCCCCTCTCCTATTGCCCAAAGGCTGGCAGCTGCTTGGCAATTCACCCGCCCATGCATCCGCAGGCTGCCATCTGCCAACATACAGCCCCGTGGGAACCATGTGACATTTGCCCTGCCCCTTGCCTCCACGCGATGGTGGTGTCCACCCGCCTCCCTCACCCGCGGTACGTCACCCAGATTCGGCTTTCAGGGGTCTTGTGAGCCGCCACCTCCTCCTCCGTGTACTCCGGCAGCTGCTCGGCGGCTGCCACAGGCGTGGCAGCGGGCGTGGCCTTGGCGGCGGCCCCCGCCGCCGCCGCGACAGCCGGCGGCTTGGCCTGCTGCGCTGGCTCTGCGATGGCCGTTTTCGCGCCCGCGGCGCCGGCGGCGGCGGCCGCCGTGCCGGCGGTGAGGAGGCCGAGGGCGCCCCACTGCAGCCAGTTCCGGGGCCCTTTCGCGCTGCCACTGGGCACGGTCGCGCCGCCGCTAGGTGCAGCAGGTTTTGATGCGGTCGCGGCCCGGCTGGTATATGATGCGGCTGCCATTGGCAAGCCTGCGCTAGTGCGCCCTTGACGAGCTGCAACTGCACTGGTTGCGGCAGCACACGCGCTCGCCGCTGCCGGCAACGCCGCCCACAGTGCGGGTGCATGCTGCAACAGGGCATGGCCCTGGAGCATGGTGGACCTCCAGGCCTCGGGCAGCCAAGTGTGGACAGAGGTGTGGTGATGGTATGTGGCACGACGCCAAGCGCTGCTTTGGTACGAGATCAACGCGCGTTTTAGTATGTGTTTGAGCGTTTTGTTAGATCGCTTCGCGGCAGCATTGATCCCCAAGTGCGTCACGACGAGTGACATCAGGTGACGATTTTGAACAACGGAAAAAAGCAACAGCGTGCAGGAAAAGTTAAGCTGATGTAAGTCAAAACAGTCTCTTGACCTTTAACAGCACAATGCACCATCAGACGCTTGCATCTAGCAGCAGGGGCCGGCTTGCGCATCGAGTTGCGCGCCGCTCGCGCTGCACCCCTTCCTTGCGTGGATCTGGGCCGCTCTTACTTGCAACTGCTGCGCGCACTCGGCAAGTAACGGCACTCTGCTGCACAACAGGCCCCGTGGCAGACGCCGCCGCCGCCCCCGCGGCGCCGTCGCGCTCCGATTTGCTGCGCCGCAGCGCCGTGCTTGCGGCAGCCGCCGCGGCGCTGGTGGCACCCCTAGGCCGGCCGGCACCGGCGGCGGCGGCGCGGCCGAGCTCAATCGTCTCCGTGCTGCAGGATCAGGGCAGCGGCAGGTCAATCGTCAAGACCGCCTCTGGTGCGGCTCCGGGGCCGCGCGTGCCGCACGCCTGCGCGGCTCCGGCTGGCGTTGCGCATCCCTGGCGGCAGCTACCTGGGGTGCCGCAGAGCTGCCCTGCGGGAGCCGCGGCCCCTGCGCCTGCCTGGGCGCTACCTGGCCCCTGCTCTACGGGCCTCTACCATACATGCCGCCCGAGCCTGGCACCACTCCACCCCCCCCCTTCCCCCAATCTCAAGGCATCAAATACACTGACCTTGAGGCGGGCGGCGGCGAGGCGCCGAAAGTGGGTGATCTGGTGATGTGCGATCTGGTGCTGTCCCTAGAAGACGGCAGCAAGGTGCTCGACACGCGGGAGACCGGCACGCCCATAGCGTTCCAAGTCGGCATCACAAACCCGCGTGAGAGGGGGACGATCGCGGGCGCCATGTTGTGGTGCGTGCGACGCGCTCGCGCTTGCTGTCAGCAGATGACGAGATGAGGTCAGCCTCGTCTGCAGCAACCGCTGTGGCTCCAGCTGGATTGCAATTCCGACCCTGGCGCCTGCCTGTCACGCGCCCAACAACCGCCCGCACCCCTCGCAGTCGTCACTGAGGGTCTGGAGGAGGTGGTCAGGTGGGGGCAGGCGGGGCAGGCTGAGGCGCAGTCGCCTGCAGTAGCTGCCCTGCTCTGCTTGGGTGATGCCGCCCTCCGCCCAGTAGGGCACTCACCATCTGATTGCTGCGAGGGACACACACACACACACACACACACACACACACATGCTTGGCCAATTGAGTAACCCCGCCCTGCGCAACACTCATCCAACATCGCAGGGGCATGAAGGCCGGGGGCACGCGGCTGGCGGTCGTGCCGCCGGCGCTAGGCTACGGGGTGAGCAGCAGCCGCGCGCTCTACTGCCTGTGCCGCCGTGCAGACGGCTCCGCCGCGCCCCTCGGGCGATGCGGCTGTGTTTGGGACGCAGAGCCCTTGTGTGTGCCGCAGGCCCGAATTGACTGGCCGCTGCTGCTGCACGCGGCCAGGCAGCCACCCAACCCGCCCGCAGGGTCCTTGTTGCCGCTCACACCCCCCTTCCAACGGCCTCAACGCCCGCCCTGCCAGGCTAAGGCTACGCAGCCGCGCGGCATCGACGCGCCCATCCCAGGCAACGCGGACCTCTATTATGAGGTGGGGGCTGTGCGGCGCCCCGCCGCGAGGCGCACAGAACGACCCGCGCCCGCGCCGGCAAGCGCCAGCGCGCGCTCGCGCCCTGGTCCCCGCTGCGCCCGCCCACCCGGCCTGGCGGCCCCCTCTGTGCTCCGTCCCCGCACGCTGCGCGCCACCCCCAACCCCCCTTGATGCCACTGCGCAGGTCGAGCTCCTGCGCTGCCAGGGCACCCCTGTGGGCACGGCGTGCTGCTCCGAGGCCAAGTTTGCGGAGCGCGGCGGCGCGTGCATCCCCGCGGAGACGCTGAAGCAGCTGGAGGCCATGATGAGCCTCAACATCAATCTGTGAGGGACGGCTGCCTGCGATGACCCACGATCCAGGGGCCTGGTGGGCCAAGCGGCCGGGATCGAGGGGGCTTGCAGGCCCCAGGCTTGCGGCGAGGCGGCACGCAGGCAGTCACGCCTTGGGGCTGCAAGAGGAGTTGTCGCCCGGACCACAGGGCTCGCCCTCTGCCACGTTGCACGAGCACTCAAGCAATCTGTCCTGCACTCACCCGGCGTGCGCCCGAGACTGCAGCTAGACAGTAGCTAGGAACCCCAGTCGTCGCCTTGCCCCCAGCCCGTCACATCACGTTGTGGGTCAGCATGCGCCATCAAAGTGCCTGACCAAGCCATGCAAGCTCAATGTTGTTATATTTTACACAGGTTTTTGATGCCTCACAGCTCCCGCACTTGCTCGTCCTCGCTCGCGACACAGCGCCCTCACTCAGGGCCCGACCATCAACCCCATGCGCGCCTAAAAATTTGAGGCCGCACCACGACACTTCCTCACGTCAGCACTTTTTTTGGGTGGTGTCCAAGCAGCCGCCCAAGCGGCGCTCGCCTCCAATTCCAAGCACGGTACCTTCTTTTTGGCTTTTTTATATATTTGTGTGTGGAATTGGATCATGCATCCTTTCAGGGGTGATTAGCAGGGCTTGCAGCCCGTCCCTTGCCACCTGAGTAAAGCATGCACTTTCGTTCCCTTGTGACGGTTGATACAGACGCCCATTGCCCCAAAAAAAACCCCACCCAGGAAGGAGGACCAGATCAAAGCGACGAGGTGAGTACGACCCCCAAATGTCACAGGCCGGGGGCTGATGAGATGAGGTTTATGGTGACGCGACGCAATCGCCGTGGGGGCAACACATGCGCGCGCGGCCGCGAGGATGGCCGCTGAAAGCAAAGACAGGGGGGTGGGGAGTCCGGCCGGTGAGCCAGGGTGCGCGTCCATGCTGATGCTCCACCGCAACCTTCCAAACGTTGTACAAGGGATTGTGGAGAACACATCCCACATACAAGCGCAACGACAGAGACATGGGGCAGGGGGCCGCGCCAGCAGGCGCGGCGGGCGCCAACAAACCGTGCCACGCATGGGGTCCACAAAACAAAACAGTGGGGGTGCTTGACACGACTTTCGGTGGGTTCAAAGCAGGGAGAACGCCAGATGGCCCGCCGCGGTGGGCGGCGGGCGCAATTCCACTCTCAGCATACCAAACACACTCGCGCACCGCCGGGCGCCGCACAAGCATGCAGCGCGCCGCCGGGCGCAGGGAGGGGGAACGCACACACAACACGCGCGATGTGGCAGAGGCTGCGGCGCGCCACCGGTTTCGGCGGGCAGTGGGCGCGGCCGCGCGGGGATTGTGCAGTGTCAAGATGATACTGGCTGAACTGAAATGCGTGCGTACAGGTGCAACAGCTCCGCGACCAACCGCCTACCACGCGCCAGGGCTGACGGAAAAAAGCCCGGCGCGCGACGCAAGGGTATGCCTTCCGGAAGAAAGGCGTTGGGGGGTCAGAGAGTTGTCAGTACCGGCCGCCCCCTGGCGCGCCCGCGCGGAGGGGGGAGCGGCGCTGCAAGGGCGCCGACCCCGGCTCTTGTGCGGGATGAGGGGGGGGGGGCGGTCGCACCATCCAGGGCTGGGGGGCATCATTGCCAGCCGCCCACGAAAGCACAAAAAGTCCATGCCATGGAGGGAACGTGGTTGGTGTCAGCAGCAATCAAACCCTGACGTAGTCTGTTGCGGTGAGAAAGTGAATGAGAGGCGGCCTGCCTCCTCCCACAATGCTCGTCGGCGGGCGGGGCCCTGCCAACAGACAACCCTGCCTGCACTAGCGAGGATCCGAATACTTTGGATAGGACAGACATCTGTGATGGGGCTCCCGGCCTGCGGCATAGGCCGGCAACCCAGGCGCCGCGGCGCGCGCACAGCGGCCGGCGCCAGTTGATGGCGCAGCGCCGCGACGCGACGCCGAGGCGCAGTGGGCACAGGCACAACGCTCGCCTGCCGGGCAGGTGCTCCCGGTGTTCGTTGCCCGCGCACACACTGCCACTCGCACAGCAGCGAGGGCACCAGTGGGCCCCCGCCAGGCGCGGCGGGGCGCTTTAGTGTCTCAGCGCCCCGCACAGGCGGGGGTGCGTGGGGTGGGTCGGGGTGAAGGAGCGCGAGGGCGCGGGTGGCCCCGTCGCTGCTTTTGGGAGGGGTTAAGTAGGTGGGGCCTGTGCTACCAGCTGCGTCATCTGCCTATTCTTCTTCTGCTGCTGTAATTTCGATGAGACATGACTGTCGGGCTGCGCGCGGCGCCATTCCAGCCTGCGCCGCGCCAGCCCCCAAGCGCTCCGCTTGTCAAGTGAGTTTGGGCCACGCCGCCGTGCCGCCCGCTCAGGTGTTGGGAACGCGCACGCCTTGCCGCCAGACGAACGCGCCTTGAGGCGCGCGTGCACGTGTGCGCGCTGCCACCGTGCCGCCGATAAAAGAATGATCGGCGGCCCTTAGAAGTTCATTATATGTTGGCCGCGGCCGCCGTCGGGAAATGGCCCCGCTTGGCGCACCGCTCCCGTTGGCCAGAGAGCCGGGCTGCCACATGGGCGAAGCGATGGGTGTGGGCCAGCGGGCCGGCGGCCGCATGGCGAGGCAGGCCACATCGGTGGCCCGCGCCCGCCTGCGGCGCGGCGCGCCGCGCCGCGCCGAACAGTTTGCTGCTGCCGCCCGTCGCCGCCGCCGTCGCCATAAGCTCAGTTCTCTTGATCAGGAAGGAGGCCGCTTCATGCCGCAATCGGCATGGACTTGGGCGGTGACGGCGAGCGGAAGGCGCGGGTCAGCAGGGACGAGGACGGGGTAGGCAGCGCGGACGGCTTTGGCGCGGCGGCGGCTCCAAAAGAGGGGCAGACGTAGCCCTGGCGGGCGTCCAGGGAGCACCGACGCGCCGGCGAGGCAGGCGAGGCGCGCTTGGCGGCCGTGCCGCTGCTCTTCTTGAAGTCGGGCGAGCGAGAGTGCTTGCCCCTATTGAGAGAGGATGGAGCAGCGGCATTGTGCGAGCCCGAAATCAAGGGTAAGTGAGGACGAGTGGTGGCGCAGTGGGATGTCACCGCGGCCGACGCGGTGAACTATCCCACCGAGCAGCCAACTGCGCACAGCCAAGATAACGTGAAGGTTAAGACTCCAGGTGCGCGGGCCGCGCCGCGCACCTTGGGGCCTCCAGGGCCTCGAACATGCGCGAGTCGCCAGCATCGGGGCACCAAGGCTGGAGCTCCCGGCCGTGGGTCACGAACGACTCGTGCTTCTGGCAGGCCTCGATGAGCCTGTCAACCAGGACGTCGGCATCACCGCGGAACACGGCCTGTGCGAGGGGAGGCGTGTGTGCAGGCAGCGTGGAGTTCTGAAGCCATGACGCAGCGAGGCCAACAAAGGGTGAGGGGCCCGCACACGCTGCGGGACCGAACCCACGGAGTGGAATGCGCCTGGAAAATGCGCATGTGATGTGCGGAGCCGCCTGGGGGATGGCGCGTAGCTGCACGAGAGAGATTCCCAGAGGGGCGCAGGCAAGGGGCAGCGCCGGGCAAATGCCACAGCCGCGTCCAGGAGCCACTGGGGTTCTGCTAAATGTGCCCAGGCGTATCGGAATGTGATTGTAAAGCGCGATGCGCCCCAGGTGGGGCCGCGAGGGGGCAAACGGACGGCGTCAGACAGGGCACCCCGGCCAAGGGGCCCATCACGCGCACCTGTGTAGAGCAGAAAGGCATCTTTGCTGTTTAAGTTATGCGAAGAGTGCGTCCACGGGGCCAAGATGTGATGCGTTTGGCACGGCTGCAACTCTGACCTTTTCAGACCGACCCAAACCCGGTCGAAGGTAGGAAACGACGTTGGAAGCTATCATCACTGAATCAAAGGAACCGGAAAAGTTCGCGGCGCCTCGGGCCAAAACGGGGACCGAGAAGGGGAGCAGAGCGGGCGGCAACATGATGCCGCATGTGCACCTTACAGTACGACTCGTCAGGGCCTGGCACCGACTTAAAATACACGGTAAATATTTCACACATGCGCAGTGGGGTGAGCCTATGCGCGCATTGACCGCCCGTCTCGATGCTGTAGGATGCTGTAGGGGCCACTGCGGAAACGGCAGCTGTTGAGGCCACCAGCAACATGCACTCCCAGCGCATGCAGAGCCCGTTTGTGTGCTGTAAGCAGTGTAGCCTCAGCAAACGGCACCAATTGCGGCTGTCGATTGTACTACAGGACTGCGCACGGGATGCAGTACAAGATCCCCGTGCATGCGCACGCTTGCGATATGCCACGCTTCACAGTTGCCACGACGCAACATGCCGCCCAACACACGCAGGGATGCAGCAGTTTACAACCCTTACGCACTTCCCTTAAGAAGGGGGAAACCTTGGGTTTTGGCTGCTGGCTGTGTATTGTGACTTGCCGGGCGCGCGCGGGGCGCTAGGGTCGTCGGGTCGCGTCGCGGGCGTCACCCCTGACCTTGCCCGGCCGCCAGCGCCTGCAGCACCGCCTGGAACCCGGGCGCCCCGTGCAGCGCCGCCAGGTCATTGTCAGCCGCAAGATCGCTCGCAGTCAACCACGCCCCACTGCTTCCCTGCTGCTGCTGCTGCTGCTGCTGCTGCTGCTGCTGCTGCTGCTGCTGCTGCTGCTGCTGCAACAAGAGCTGCTGGAGCAGTGTCAAGGCCTGGCCGGCCTCCCCGGCCAGGCAGAGTGCGCAGGCGGCGTTGTAGCGGACGTCGCGCCGCTCGCACAGGCGCCCCAGCTGCTCGGGCCGCTGCAGCGCCTGGCCTGTGGGGTGGCAGACGCGGTGGGTGTTGTGGCCAATGTGTGCGCACTGTTGCAACACACAGAGGGGCCATGATCGGATGGCAATCTGTTGTGACCAAATCCAGGCCTTCCCGACTGCTGCACCCCCTAATATGGTGATGCACGACACCAAAGCCGCCCACCGTAGTAAGTGCACGCCGCCTTGAAGTGCTGCCCTGCCGCCAGCGCGTCCCCGGCCGCCGCCGCCAGCCGCCCCAACGCGACGCCCGCCTCTGCCAGCCCCACCAACGCGTCGGCGTTGTGGCGGCTGATCGTCAGCGCCGCCTGGTACCCTTCATCTGCTGCGGCGCGCGCCGTGGCTGCCGCAGCCGCGAGACTGTCCGCGCTGGGTTGCGCCCCCGCCAACTGCTGCTGCTGCTGCTGCTGCTGCTGCTGCTGCTGTTGCTGCTGCTGCGCCTGCTGCTGTGTGCCGCCGCCCTGCAGCACGCCGCTCGAGAGCAGCTCAGCTGCGTCCATGAGCACGTCCCCAAGCGCGTTGGCGGGCGCGGTGTCGCCCCGGCTGAATTGCATCGCGTGGCGCAGGCGCTGCGCGGCCTGCTCCAGCAGCGCGCGGCGCTCACCGGGATCCTGGGGATAGCGGCAGAGGCAACGCCAAGGTGGGTACAAAAGTTGGCTCAGACGCCTGCGTCACCACCAAAGTGGCCGCAGGAATAACCGCACCCAGCCTGCCACATTGACGTGGTGGAGAAACAATGGAGCCGCTCGAACAGGGCTGGCACCTTGGTTCCTGTTGCAGCGCCGCAGCCAACCGGGGCCGCCGCCGAAGGCACCGCCGCGCGCATGCGCTGTCCACACACCTGAGCAGCCTTCGAGACCGAATGGAGCCCCACCCCCCAGTTGTGCAGCAGAGACGGCAGGTCGTCCCCCGCCTCGGAATCGCTCAGCCCGCAGCTGCGCTCGTACGCCGCGAGCGCCTCGCCAAACGCGGCGCGGGCGCCCGCAGCGTCGCCGGCAGATGCCAGGCGCTCGCCCTGCTGCACCAAGGCGTCAGCCATGTTGCTCAGCGTCTGCGCAAAGGGGCCGGCGCGGAGCTGTTAAGCATGCTTCGCAACGTGAGGTGAGGGGGGGCGACGTAGTACAAGAGCCAGAAGCCCAGATGAGTGCGACCAACGCATGCTGGCAAACGAGCCAGCCAGCATGGGTTTGGCTCAGACGCGCAGGGACGCGTCCTCGCTGCGCAGCAGTCGCGGGCCCCTGACTCAGCCCGGCGGCGCTTGACGCGCGGCAGCCCTGGGGGCACGTAGCTGCGGCAGGCTTGCCAACTATCGGCCCCACCCGCGCGCACGTGCAGCCATCCCAGCAGCCATCCCACGGCGCGGGCGGCCGCGCACCAGAGCATCCTCCTCCTGCTGGAGCGCCGCCTTGTACAAATCCACCGCCCGCTGCAGCAGCGCCCCCTCCGCTTCCGCGCCGCCGCCGCCACCGCCGCCGCCGCCCATGCTCGCCCCCAGGGCTCGCTCCGCCCACGCACACAGCGAGTTGGCCGCGTTGACGGCCGCGTCTGGCCGGACTACGCCGCCTGGCGCGACGACGACGGCGCAGTAGGCGGCGGCGGCGCGCTCGTAGAGCGAGGCTGCAGAGTTGGCCGCTTGGGACTCTGCTTGCACTGTGAGCTCGGAGTCCGGCAGAGCGGCAGCTGTGTCCAGCAATGCATCCGCCCACAACTGCAGGCACTCGCCCTGTGTGGGCGGGTTGGTGGGCGTGTGGTTGGGCTGATGGTGCCCGCATGCGCAGCACGGGTGCTGCCAGGGTGGGTGCGTGAGGGTGGGGCGCACGCTTTGTGGAAGTCAGGCATTCCCGCTGTTTCCGTCGTCGACAGCGACCACAGCAGCACGCGCCGCTCACGTGTCAGGCCGGCAGGGGGCGGGCAGGCACGCTGACTGCACGGCTTCATGCGCTATGGCGTACCAGGCCAAACGCCGCCGCCTGCTGCTCTTCGTGGGAGAGCCCAGCCATCCCGGCGACATGTGAGAATGCGGCCGCAGCCGCTTCGAACGCGCCCAGGGCGTCGCGGCCGCGCTTCCGCTCGGCGCGCTGCTGTAGTGTTTCTGCTTCTGCAAGATGGATGTGCGGACAAGAGGGTGCGAGGATGCGGCGGCCTTGGCCATGACGCTCGTTGCTGTGCAGCAGTGCCGCGGCGGGCAAGCACAACAGCTGCTCGAGGTGTGATGCTTCCTGAAGGCGGCGCTTGCCTTCCAGGAGAGTGGCAGGCGTGGAAGGCGCAGGCGTATCGATATCAGCTTGCCGTCGCCTTCCATCTCTGCCCCTGCCACGCGCCGACATGACGAATCGGCGAGGGTCACCGGTAGACTTTACAGATCTGGCGCACTACAATAAAAACAGTGTGTGTGCGGAACAAAAACGAAGTGAATCTCACACGATATGGATCATCCGTGCTGTGCAGGTCGTTTGCTGACATGAAGTACTGTACGGGACGCACCTGTGACCGTACCGGCAGCCACTGCGTGGCGACCTGTTCCATGCCTTTCTTCATTTGATTCCCAGGTTTGAAAGGCAGGAGCGACTATCCGTGACTTGCAATAACAATGGGGAATACTGCTACCCAAAGGCTTTGCCACCCCCCTTGTGAGACACTGCAACCCTTGCTCGCCGCGACAACAACGAAACACCGCCGCGTGTTTCACCGATGCCCCTAACTGCGTCAGTCTCCAGCTGGGGCGCAGATTTGCCAGCCCTGCCACCCGGCAACCCACGTCACCGAGGATCTTGGAATTACTCATTGGTCAGTGCACACAACTTTGGCACCGCCAGACCGTGCTGGCACCGTGATCGAGTTTGAATTGGATGAGGAGGGGGGCCCCGCAAAGGCGGGTGCGATTGGGCACTCCGCAGCAGTGCGATGGGGGTGAGCGGCGTCCTATGTGCATCACGTGTGTGGTGCCGAGCCCGCTAGCCGCCGCGCTGCTGATCTTACGCAGCAAGGCCCAGGGCGTCACTCTCCTCAATGCCAGAAGGACGTGAGAAACCTAGCGTTACTGCG